GATTGTTTTCAGAATGTATTCTCTCTTAAAATTTATCCAACTCCAGAGCAAAATCACATTTCTAAAACCCCTATAGAAATTGCATTAAAGAGAAAATAAAAACAAAGATTAAAATAGAGACTCACAAATTCATTAGCGAGTACAGGAAAAAAAAATGAAAAATGAAATCCCAAGATTGTCTTCAAGAGAAGAAGAAAGTGGAAATTGAGTTTGTTCTTGAAATTATCGAACTCCAGTAAAACAGAACCATCTTTATCAAACCATAAAAAACACATTAAATTAATAAAAAAAGTTTTTAAAATAAAAACTCACAAATTGGTACTTTTTCTCTCCCAGCGATGAGCATCGAAGTGACCGTTAGAGACTATAATTTCTGAGGTATACGAAGGATAGACACAGCAAAACCAAACTAATCTGATTAATAATTCAAATATATAATTTAATGAATCGAATCAAATTATCATTTTTGAAGTAAATAAATTCAATGCTACAAGCTATACACCAAATAAAAGTATATTCAAACAATTTCGAATTCAAAAAAGAAAAAATAAGAACTGCCAATTAACGTATCTCGAAATCCAAGAAATGTCGAATGTCGAAAAATTACAGACAAAATCACCTTCAATAAATTTGTGAAAATGAATTGATAAACATTTACCTTTGCTTTGTTATGACAGTGACGACAATCAAAAATCTCGTTGCAAAACGGTGCCCTGATGCGGCACCTTCGACGATAATGGGAACACCTGTCAATAGAAACTATCACTATTAGCAAAAATTTAACAGATGTGTGATTACCTATCAAAAAAAAATTTAACAGATGTATAAATTGAAAATAGCCATGGATACAACCATAAGCGTATCCCCTAATACCCATATTCCAAGTATCATTTATCGTCAATTTCCGTGTCAACTCTATGTCAGGAGAGTCAGCGGGAGGATAGGTAAGGGTTCCGAATCCAGTTAGAGAGACATACACGTTATTTTTATGGGGTGAAACATAAACACCTTTTGCTACGTTCAACCCCGCTGCTTTTTTTTAAGAACTTCACCTGGCGTCTCCAACTCCATAAACCCTAACCCTTCTATCAAAAACCCTAATCGATCATTCAAACTTTCAATAATATCATAAATGACTTTCTTCATGCCCAGTGCCTTCATGGTTGTGAAGGGCCTCTTCATATTCAACAAACCCACAAAAATCTCCCGACCTTCCTTGCTAAATTCAAAGCAGCCTCTCCTCAGCTTCTCAGGGTTGACTCGCTCCAGCCACTTCTTTACCACCTTCGACCCGTCGATTCCACCTCCATCCCAACTCCAAACCACCGCCAAAGGTCGAAGAAAAAAGAGAAAGTGTCTAGATCTTCGACTTCGACGGAAAGAGAAAGAGGAAGAGAAAGGGAGAGTAAGAGTAAGAGTAAAAGTAAAAGGGAAAGTAAAGGTTAGGCTGCTTTACGGGAAGTGGGAATTGAAAAAAAGATATTTTTTAACCAGTTTGGAGAAAAGTCAGGTGTGAAAACGTGCAACTCAACTATGAATAGTAAATGTTGCCAAGAGTCTTTTAAGGTAATGGGAAATACAAGACTCACGGAGTCTAAAAGCACAACCCACAAAAAATAAAGTTGCTTTATTGAGTTGTAGCCTAGAAAGGGTCTGCAAGAAATGCGAGACAACTTGCTCACAAGTTCCCAACTTTAGCCTGCACAAATGAACATATATGATGCAGTAAAGATATCTACATACACAAATTCTATACAAAGAATGTTATCAGTACATTTCATCCCAATTTACTGATAGTGATCTAGTTCTTGCCATAAATTATTAGGGAATGGTTACCTTGCTTAATAGCTGAAACTCAGGTCTTAACATCATAGATTTGAGTTGCATCAAGAACCTTTTAATAGGATTTTTTGCAGGTCTCCCAGATGTCCTTTGATGTCTACAAAAACATACAAGTATCACTTACTTCAGGCATCATAGTCCACAACCACGACATCACCATAGAATCATCTTCATCCCAGGCTTCAAACTTCAGGATCTTCTGGTTTCGGACCAATTCCAAGAAGATGACTCAATTTTCCCTTCCCTTTTACAAAGGTTCACCATTCAAAAGATATCCTGGTTGCCGTTGGTAATATCTAGGTTACATCATACATGATAAAGACAAGATGAAGATAAATAGATAGATAGAAAGCAAGAGAGGAATAAAAACAAAATTTATGTGCTCAAAACATTTCAAGTTCACGATTGGCAATGATGGCCGAAAGATTTTTAAAAAAAATCTTGAAGGAGGATATTACTAAACAATGCACGCCAGAAAACAAATTCATTTCCCAGAGATTGTAAGAAGCTCAAATACCATCTGAAATTATGGGAATAATATTTTCTATTCAAGAATTGGAAGATTACAGATACATAGATAGCCCAACTACCTGGCTCCTGTATAACATACAGAATATTTAAATGCTAACTAGATATACATCACATATTTACAGAATATTTAAATGCTAACTAGATATACATCTCATATTTACAGGGTCAAAACCTGAGCATTCATCCGAAGAAAACAATAAAGAATAGTTGGTAGCATGCACCTGGTTTTCATGCTAAATAATGATTACAGGCACACCTATAAAGACTATAAATTGATTAGACAGCACAATCACAAAGTAGAGCAATGTGAAGTCTAATTACCAGAAGACACCAAGTGATTAACTTATGAAGGTATTGCTCCGTGTTCAATAACCTCCACATAATCAGCAAGCACAGGATGACAGTAATAGTGAACTAAACCCCAGCTTTCTCACTATTCATTTGTCCAGCATGCCTACTCAATAAACCTCTGCATATGATTGCTTTCAAATTTTCTTTTCTTGAGCATCAAGTCATGCACAATACAAACTTCGTCCAACTTGTTATCTTTGCACAAAATGGAAATCAACAAGTGAAGATTATAATTGCAAGGAACATAACCATGAGCATGCATATCTTCACATATCCTCAATGCATTAACACTTGATTGATTAGCACAAAACCAACTAAGCAGATTTTCGTATAACAATTTCGGAGGTGAAAACCCTCTTTTCTGCATCGTATGTGATAGTGATAATGTATCAAATAGCCTTCTAGCCTTAATGAGTCCTCTTATTAAAGTGTTATACAGTAACTCATCCGGATCAAAACCACTAGCATTCATTTTATTAAATAGGCCAACAGCAAGATCAGTTTCCCCAAACTGGTTATGGCCATCAATCAGGATCGTGAAAGTCACCTGATTAGGTTGCACTCCCTCTCTTTGCATTCTATTAAGATGATCATAGGCTTCCTGCATCCTCCCAGCCCAACATAACCCTGATATAATGCCATTATACAGGTACAAGTTTGGCATGAGTGGAACATTTTTTATTTTCTGGATTAGTTGCAACGCAAAGAATTTCATTTCTTCCTGAGAACTGATCAAAATTTTCAAACTATTTTCCTTCGGTAAAATGGCACTTTGATGGAGTAAATCAAACATCAGCTCCTTTGCTTTCTTTGACTTTGCATGGGATAGATACCATTTTCCTTCAACACGCCTAATGTTTCTAGAAACACCACTGACTAAGGCAATGTATGTGACTAGGTCTCTCTCAATCTCACTTTTCTCCATCAAATCAACCAATCTAAAGGCAAATTCAAACTCCCTCTTCCTCAAAAACTGGTTGATAAGGGAGGTATAAAGAACAACATTTGGCTTCAAACCCTCTTCCAGCATCCTATCTAGGTATAGGCAACCTTTCTCGGTCATATCTTTCTTAACTAGCCCAGTTATGAGTGCTGTATAAGCACGGTAATTTGGTCTAAGATCATACTCTAACATATTTTCGAACAGCTTGCTGGCTTTATTCGCCCATCCATTCTTCGAGTAAGCATTAATCATCGTGACAAAGATGGATTCATCGGGATCAACACCAAACTCGAGCATTCTCCTGAAAACTTTTTCTGCCTCAAAAATCCTTTTCTGTCTGCCAAAATAATCAACAATAGAGTTGTATATAGCAACAGTTGGCTTGATTCCCCTCTCTTCTATTTGGTCCAAAATATCAAGGGCTAATGGCAAGTTACCGTGTTTACAGAATTCATTAACTAATATCGCCAAAGTTGTATGGTTTGGAAACAGACTCTGATCCTGCATAATTTCAAGTAGAGACTTTGCATCCTCAACTAATCCATCCTGGAGAAGGCGCTTAATCAAGGAATTATATGCAGAAAGTAAAGGCAAGAGACCTAGACTTGCCATCTTATCTATACAGAGAAAAGCAGAGTCAAGTTTCCCACCCATACACAATGCAATCATGTAGATGCTAAATGCAGTATCAGCTAAACAAGACTGGCTTCTGGCAATTTCCTCCAGCAGACACTCAATTTCAAGCATTATATCGTCCGCACGTTTATGTTCCATGTAGCTAGGAATACTTGAAAGTTCAATCTTGTATGCCTTTGTGGCAATTGCCTGCAAAATTGTAAGAGCTACATGCACCTCATCCCCTTTAGGATGATTCTTGGCAAGGGTGAAGAAAAGCACATGGTCAGGAATAATCCCACTGCCCAGCATCTGGAGATACAAACTGTCTACTTCCTCAAACCTTTGTTCCTTGCAGAGTGCACTGATTAAGACCGTGTAACAATGCACATTGGGAGCTATATTGCACTGGATCATGTAGTTCAAGAGCTCCAAGCCACAATCAACTTTCTGGTCCTTGCAGTATTTGCTAATCATGATTTGGTAAGTTACTATGTTAGGCTTCAATCCACAATTCACCATCTTATTATACAACAACCAAGCCTTGTCAAACAAACCCAAGTGCACAAACCCGTGAATCAATGTATTATAGGTGTAGTTATCTGGCTCACAACCCACCTTAAGCATTCTCATAAACAACCTCATAGCCATCTTCATTTTCCTGCTCTTGCAATACCCGTAAATTAGATAAGTGTACATAACTTTATCCATTGAAAGATCATAAGACTCCATTTCCACACTCAATCTCAACCCATCCTCGCTTGCAAAACTCAAAGATCAACAATTTGCACAAGTGAACTGTTGGTGGGACCCCTCGATCCATCATCACATCAAACACATGAAGCGCCTCATCCAAGTACCCCATAAAACACAAACTATCCACCAACCTATTATAACACGTGTAATTGATCATAAAGTCACTAACCTTGGTAAAGCAATCATATCCCTCCAAAACTCTATTTTGTTCACAAAATCCTCTAACTATAGCATCACACGCCCCAATACAGGGTCTATATTTCAATTCAATCAGCCTGTCAAAATAAGACTTTCCTTCATCCATCCTCCCCAGCTTACAATAACAAATAACCATAGTATTCAACAAAGCACGGTCCGGTTCAATGCCTTTACCAACTATACAATCTACGTAAAAAGCCTCAGCAATTTGAGACTCACCAGAAGTCACAAGCTTCCTAATAAGACAACCATAAGTGACTAGATCAATCTGCATACCTCTTATAAGTGCAAAATCAGCGGCGACGAATGCTTCCGAGACCGAAGACTTCAAAATGAGCCTCTGAATCACTTTCTGCGCTGAGGATAACAAGCCACGGTTAATGAGCTGGTCTGCTAAAGAAAAGCACAAATCTTTATGAGTCAATTGAGGTGTTGAAGAGAAAAATGACGATGGCATGGACTCTAAAGGTAAAGGGGAAGTGCTAAAGGGTCTTCTTCTCCTTCTTGTCCTTGAGAAGAGAATATAATTGTACAGTCTGCCTTTGTGCTTGAACATGATTATTTGTAAGATTTTGAGCAAAAATTCATTGTTCAAGAGCGACCCGTATGAGAAATACTTGAATTTGGGTCGATTTGAAAGAGGAAGCACAGAGAGAGACGAATTTCAATGGAGGCAGTTCTTAAACCCTTAAGTGAAAATCGGTTTCTTCAATTGAGAGCTTCAAGTCTTAAACCCTTACGTCTACACTGTATAATTGACTTTCCTTTTTCTTTTTCTTTTTCTTTTTTTTTATAAACGATTTTGACTGTGTTTTTGGCTTTTTGCTGTAATATTTTTCTTTTTATTAAGTTCATGATTTTACATTTATTTTAAATTAAACACAAAATCAAAGGAAAAAAAATAAAGGGAAAATGAAATTGAAAAGTTGTAATCTTTATTAATAGTGTGCAAGGGAAAATGAACAATAACCATAACATTTTGAGTAATATTATTCATCCTCAGTGGGGATGAAAACACGGTTTAGGTGATTTTAAATAATAAGTTAAATGAAATGTGAAATTATATCATTTAATGTCATATTAACGTCATCTAGACTGTGTTTTCATCCCCAATAGGGATGAATAACATTACTCTAACATTTTTGTTCAATTTCTTTAACGATATTTAAAGAATATTAAAAAGAAAAGTACAAACTAATTATTACAAAATTAAATTATGAATTAATTGAACCATCCCGACAGACCTCCATGGCCCAATACCGCCCATTATCTATCTAGTCTATTGTGCTCTTCCATAATTGAGCTGAGGCCCAATGCACTTTAGAGGTTCAATTTCTCGTAAGAGACTAGTTTCTTCAACATAGCTAAAGACCGTAGAAAAGGTCGATTTAACTGCACTTCCATACACTTGTGCATAATGTATATAAAGCTGAGACTTATAGCATAAACAACTATTGTCAAACATTGATTCCAAACTTCTGCACAATTTGATTGGCCACTAAACCCTACAAAAACCTGTATAGCAAATGTTCAAAGAGAAATTAAAAAAAAAAAAAAATTCTCCTTTCTTTACACTTTAAATGGGTGCTCCAAATCTAACGGTCACCAACTTTTTCGCCAATCAAAAGTAAGTTCATCATAAAGCTTTGAGCATCCATGTATATAGAATTGATATCATACTTCTAGTGAGGAGGATAAAAACTATCTACTGTTGATGTGGCGGAAAGAATTGTAAGTTCTCTGAATGCATGACTGTTGAAGATGAGAGGATCTTGAGGTTCTCTTTAAAAATAGGAAGTTCTTAGCCTATCCACTAGAAATTAGATATATCCATGTATAATGGATGCTGAGGAAGTTTTCTGCTGCCTGGAAATAAGAAGGGGCAATAGTCATTTAGTGTAGAAGAGATTGACGGAATTCATCACCACCGCAACCCACACCGCATCACAACTACCACCCTAACAAAAAAATCTCCAGACCCGCAACCACCATTCCCACCTGTCGCAACCATCACCAGCAAAAAATCCTCAAATCCACAACCATTACCTCATCCGCACAATTATCCAAGCCTGTATCTACAAATTACCACTACCACCTCTACCATCTTCTTCACCTCTACCACACCCATCACACCACAAACCGCCGCTGCCAACACCAAAAAATAGTATCCAGATATTCCATCAAAACCCTCCAAAGATGGCAACAACAGAACTTCAAGAAATCTCACATGGAGAGCAAGAAGTTGAAATTCATGGAGATGTACTGGAAGCAATACTCTCGTACGTGCCACTCATCGATTTGGTGCCGGCCTCTAATGTCTCCAAGTCGTGGCGTTCCGTCGTGGCCTCCTCCCTCCGCCACCTCAAAAAGCCGAAGCCATGGCTAATCCTCTACAAACAAGCCACTCGCTTGCCTTATGCCGCTACAACACTCGCATACGACCCGTGTTCCAATCGGTGGATCAAAATATCCAAGCCGTCGATGAATTTTAACTCGGCACTCAAATCGTCTCAGTCTAATTTCCTTTACATGCTTCCAATCGTCAGCTTAGGTGGTGGTGGTGCCAGTGGTGGTGCAGTGGTGGCGGTGGCAGTGGTGGCGGCGGCGTAGAGGGAAGGGAGAGAAAATGGGTCTAAGAGAGAGAGAGGTGAGAGAATGAATTAATTAGGGTTTGAAAATTGATTTAAATAAAATAATTTAAAAATTATTAATTAAAACCTGATTTATGTATTATTAAAGATGATTTTGGATTTATGAAGATGGTATTTTAAAAACCCTGTGTGGGTGTAATTTCCTCTTATGAGATTTAGATGAAGCCCATGTTTGACACCCCTTCTATTTCCTCATTGCAACAACACATTTAAAAACCTGTGAGGGTGTAATTTTCTCTTAATTGAACCATCCCGACAGACCTCCATGGCCCAATACCACCCATTATCTATCTTGTCTCTTGTGCTCTTCCATAGCAATGCCTATACAGCGAATTGGATAATTGAGCTGAGGCCCAATGCACTTTAGAGGTTCAATTTCTCGTGTGAGACTAGTTTCTTCAACATAGCTAAAGACCGTAGAAAAGGTTGATTTAACTGCACTTCCATACACTTGTGCATAATCTATATAAAGCTGAGACTTACAGTACAAACAACTATTGTCAAACATGGATTCCAAACTTCTGCACAATTTGATTGGCCACTAAACCCTACAAAAACCTGTATAGCAAATGTTCAAAGAGAAATTTTAAAAAAAAAATTCTCCTTTCTTTACACTTTAAATGGGTGCTCCAAATCTAACGGTCACCAACTTTTTCGCCAATCAAAAGAAAGTTCATCATAAAGCTTTGAGCATCCATGTATATAGAATTGATATCATACTCCTAGTGAGGAGGATAAAAACTATCCACTGTTGATGTGGCGGAAAGAATTGTAAGTATGGTTCTCTGAATGCATGACTGTTGAAGATGAGAGGATGTTGAGGATCTCTTCAAAAATAGGAAGTTTTTAGCCTATCCACTAGAAATTAGATATATCCATGTATAATGGATGCTGAGGAAGTTTTCTGCTGCCTGGAAATAAGAAGGGGCAATAGTCATTAGTGTAGAAGAGATTGACGGAATGGGCCAGGTGAGTGAGGGAAGTTATGGTGCGGTACTTTTGCTTGCCGCTAAGGACACCACAATAGAGAGCATTATCGGGCACAAACAACTTCGTTTTGTTGCTTGTATCTTCAAGATTGACAATTCTCATGTATTTTTCCTGGCCAAGAAACCAGCAATCGAGATTATCTGCTCTAAGATTCCAGACGCCAACGTTGTCAAGAGATACATAGGTTGTGGTCCATCCTCTAGAAAAATGGCAAACATACATAGACTGCGGTCCATCCTCCGAAAAAATGACAAACATCCCTTTTACTTCATCGTCATCATCACCAAAGTTGTTAAATCATTAAAAATTTCATGATCGTCGCAATCCTTGCTCATGCTTAGGAATGATCTAAAATTTATTTATATTTGGACTAGCTCGAATACTGTGGAACCTTAAATTTGGCACAATAAATCTTACAAACCATAGTTTTTTTTTTTTTTTTTTGACACACTAGTATTTGAATAGAATAGTCGTAGTACTAGCTAATGATCACAAATTTCCAATCACGAGAACATAAAAAATAATAATACTAAAGAAAGAAAATGACAACGAATGCAAGAAATACAGAAGATATTTTACTAAAAATAAGCAATCTTAATTGTAGTACATAGAAAAATGTTGTTTTCATTACAAGGAAGCAAGAATTTTACCATATAAAAATGCACTTCTTTTTCCCAAGCAGAGTAATGAATAACTAAACAGGACTCGACCAGATCAATCCTCGAGAGCAATTTTGATCGCAACACTAATATCACAATATCAACAAAACAATAAAATATTGCTGCTGGATGTGCTTATTCAATTGAAACGAAATCCAGCAGAAAAATTAGATGTCTTCAACTTGTTGAGACGATAGCATTTGGGACAAGTCACAACTCATTTAAGGGGAAGGTACGAATATCAGCAGTACCCATGTTCCACATCTTCACAGATGCTGTGACACTCACTTTAGTAGCATTGTTAAACAAATAAACTCGTGCTGCTCCGTCAACAGCCTTTGTCGGATAAACTCGCGACGTTATAACTGTTCTGCCTCCTTGAGCAAAGCTCTCAACTATAGAGTGGTCGACCTGAATTTATTTTTGAGAAATGAAATTTTCAGATTGACACGGATAAATGCAAGACGGGATGCTGATAGATATTTTTACTTCTACAAATAGTTTAACTTGTTGAACTTCAGAGGAGTATATTATGCACAAATGTTAAGGTTTGATTATTGCAAGGTAAATTGAGCCAAAAGTAACAACTTGTAACCATGTGAACATACAACGATGATGAAAAACTCAGGTTTTTCGAAATTTCAAGATCCAAACTGTGAATACACAAGTATCGGGTTTCATTTTTCTAAGCCTCCAACTAAAATATACGATGCACATTTTGATTTAAGATTTGATCATCGCAAGGAAATTGAGCCGTGTTTGAGAACTTGTGTCCGTTGTGGACATACATGTTGACGGAAAACACAAGTTTTATGGAACAGTTTTCCAGGAACTTGAGGGCACAAGTATCAGGCTTCTGTTCTTTGAACTAACATGCATGCTTGATAAGCACATAAACAAAAAAAAAATGTGTAATGAGAAGCTAAAAAGCGAAGGGATCGAGTGATCACTTATCACATACCAGTGATCTCAGGGAGTATTTTTCACCATCAAGGACAGGGACTTTGCTCCCATAGACTACTTTTTCAACATCAGGAGCCAAAGACGATCTGCATAAAAAATACACAGTTATATAAAAGGCTCACACAAGTTACAAACACGACTTGCTTATGAACACGAGATAAGTGGTGGCTTCTAAACCAAATGTCAAGTTTTCAGATGCTGATTATGAATGCAAAATAGCTAAAAACGACTAAGAACATCAACCCGGAAAATTACTTGTTTAATATGGTGGACTATACCTCAATTCATCTGCACAAAAATGAGTTTCGGCCTTTCCATTGGCCCCTTTGGTAATGTAGAAGTAGATAGGGGTTCCCTCTGATAGAGTTTTATCACCAAGAACAATAACACCAAAAGGTCCCAACTTCCCCCTATTAGCTGCACCACCACTTGTAGGGCAACTGTAACTAGCATCAGCATCAACTTCAACCGTTCCTTCAAATGCATCCTCGTCGATTTCAAATGAGGCAACTATGTCCAACTGCACCATACACAAAACAAAACATAGGTGAACATAATGGAAAATTTTCCAATCCTTACTGGTTATAGGGTAAAATACAAAACCTGAGAAGGTGTGTCAACTTTAAGAGGAAAAATGGATCCCGGTCCAAGCTTCACATTTCCAAATTCAACACTTTCTGATCTCAATTCTTCCACTTCGCTCACTGGCCATTGAAGTATATTACTACCTGTCTTTTGATCGAACACGACGGTCCTCGGAATCGACTGCAATAAAGAGAATTTTAGTCATCTTTGTACCACAAACATGAACTTAACCTATTGACATATGAAAAGTCAAGTAATTATTACCTGAACACTTGCCCATCCTTTCAAAATGTCATCATCTTCACTATCAGTTTCTCTAATCCAACCCCACAAAATTCTCCTTTGCTTATTCTGATCATAAAATGTCTTTGAAGCATAAAATTTACCATAATCATATCTTAACCCGATACCCACATCCAATTCCGGGTCATCTGGTATCCACTTATTCTCAATTGGATCATAGACCCCAAGCGCATAATAATCATTCTTGTCATCATCCAAACTTGCTTTCAGCACATGCTTAACACTCGGCCCATTTACCGACGTGTCCAAACCGTTTACCTCTTTTATCGAAACCGGGTAAAAGTCCACACACTCCCACATACCCGTACCCGGAACTGCATGCATATACCCATCTAACATATCGTAAGTTTTAAAATCTACCGTTTCATACACAAGAGAAATACCCGTTTTATTAAGCTTGGATCCAATCGTAATCCGCCATTTATCACCATCCGGGCTAAGCCAAGCTGTAGTCGGGTCTCTAAAGTCCTTTGGTCCGATACCAGGTGGGGGGACCAGAACCGGATTACCCGAATACTTGACCCAATCAAGCAGGAGAGGATCAGATAGGTTGGCGGGATAAGCTAAACACTGCACCTGTACAACATCATATGTATCTCCAGTGTAAAGCATGACAATCTGACCGTCAGGAAGAATTGTGGCTGACCCGGTCCAGACTCCTTTGATATCATACCAGTGATCAGGGACCATTGCAAATGGTAAGTAGAGCCAGTGAATAAGATCCTTTGATACTGCATGGCCCCATGTGATAGTTCCCCATACAGCTGAATCTGGATTGTATTGATAGAACAAATGGTACCATCCCTTGTGAAATAATGGACCTGCATGCATGCATGAATTGAAGCTTAACGACTCTTATAATTATCTCAAATTGCGGCTGTCAATATATTATATCTGGATGCTATGAGTTTGAAAAGGTTTCAAAAATTAAATAATACGTGAGGTTACTTTTAATTGTAAATAAGTAGCTTTTTTCGTTCATCTAAAAGCTTTTTGTCAAAGATTTTTCCCCAAAAGTTTTTCTAACCTTTTCATAGACATTCTGGAAATGAATAAAGAAAGAAAAATATCATTTTTCCTTGCAAAAATATGTGCCACAGCCAAAACAAGCTTTTAAGTAAGTTAAATAAAGAATAGTTGTTTAATATTAATTATATTAAACTAATTTTTCAATCACATATTTAAGTAATAAAATATTTTACACGTACATCCACAAATTTTTCTTAATTTTTAACCACATATTTTCCAAAAAATCACTATTTAAAATTCTGTTTTCTCAAAATAATAGCTATCAAATAGACACTAAATGTTTATTATAAATTACTCCTAAAAATTTCAAATGTGTTTGGAAAAAAATTATCACTTAAAAGTAATATTGTGTTTGGTACGCTTAACCAGACATGCACTTTTTTTTTTTATGAAAATAAGTAATTTATAAGTTAGTTTCGTTTGATTTTGATAAAAGTTGATGAAATATATAATTGAAAAGTTGTAGGTTTCATAAAATGTGTTATTAAAATTAATTATTGAGTTTAATTTAATTTTTTTCTGAATCAAATATAGATAGTAATAAAATAATTTTAATTACTATTTACATAATTACACAGTTATATTTGTTTGGTCCTTCAAATTATATTTTTTTTTCTTTTATTTTTAACCACACATTTTTTCCATAAAATAATATTAAACAATTTTTTTTCTTATTTTTTAATCACATATTGTCCATCAAAAGATTATTTCAAAATGTATTTTCATAAAAAAAAATACTCAAACAAGCATAAAGACGTCCTTTCAAAAAAAAGACGCAATCCACGTGGTAGAGTTATCCAAATCACGTACACCGAGTGGATAAATACAATACTGGGGCGGTGGTAGACCATCCAACAATTATGCAAAAACTGGCCCCCTCATTGGTCCACGTACGATATAAACACAAAAAACATTTTAGCCCACATAATATTTTATTTTCTATTCCAGATAAGCAATGACTCATTTTTTCCCATTCTTGACCCAATAATAGTATTAAATTATTGGTAGAGATAATAATATTCAAAGATACAAAGATTCCGAGTTCTGATTGTGACTCTATTAATTAGGTTTTATTTGAAAATTTATTTAAAACATTATCTTTAACTCTAATTATGTAGATGGAATTAAGAGCTTGTTTCATGTAAATTTTTGGAAAATAGATTTTGTGAAAAATAGTTTGATGAAAAAGTAGGAAAAGTTTATAGCTCAATGTGCAAAATTAAAATATGTTGTTGAAATGAATTTGAGAAAAGTAAATTTCAAGGGCTAAATTTTCAATTAAAACTTACAACTGTATGTATGTAACTAATCCAAGCATTTATATCTTTGTATACATTAACTATTAGATTTAGTTGTTAAAAAAAAAGATAAAAGCTTGTGAAGACGTACCATTTGGATCTGTAGAAGGCGGCACCAGATTCATCCCACAAAATTTGGCACGAGAATCAGACAAAGGATAAATCAGAAAAGTTGAAACAAAATTTTTAAGAAAGAAAAAAAGAAAGAAAGTAGAATTACCGTTCATCCAATTATGTTCTGGTTGAAAATGGTAAGCCGTTCGTTGCCAAGACAGCATAGCATTGGTCCACGAGTAGGTTGCATTTTCACCGCTGGTTAGCCGGAAAGTCTTCTCCGACACACCCTGAGACACCCCTCTTGAAGGCGGAGCAGTTCGAGCTGCCGGCGTTATCGGTTTGGGAGTTGAAGATTTTCCTTGGTTGGTGCCATTGACTTTGGTTTGGGATTCGGGTTGTTGGTTAACATACAGAAGAATTAAGGAGAGTAAGAATACAGATGAAAAGAGAATGCCGGCGAGAAGTTTCTTGGATCTCCGGTGACCCACCGGAATGGAGGAGGCGGCTTCGGGTTGGTCGGGGATGGAAGTGTAGGAGGTGGCGTTTTCAAGATCATCCGGCTGCCTCCTGAAAGAGTAGTTGGCCATTGTTGTGGAGATGGAGATTAGCTTGAATGATTCTGAGAGGAAGACGTTAATTACTTATACAAGTAATGAGCACATGAATTTGAACAAAGCCACGTGTACAGGAATTTAGTATTTACACGATTTTGTCAGAATCAACGGGTGGGGTTGAATGGGTAGAAAATTCAAAAATATTAAGCCGTGGGTTCCTCGCTTACCAAATCACAGGAAGTTAACTTTTCTAAATCTAAATTTTACTTGACCAAAGGAACCAAAAAAAAAAAAAGGCAGGGGACAAAAGTATTGAATGGACTACGACTCCAATAAGAAGTCAAGTCTGTGGCCAATATTGAATTCAAGATCAGCCTATCAGGAGCCAAAACGAACCGAGAAGAGAAGGACGGCTCACGGCTTCATCCGTCCCTAAAAAATGAAATATTAAATTTCGACTTTAACTCGTTAAGTTTTATTAATTGAACGTAAATATTAATTCCTGGGTTCAAAAACGTTAGAAAACATTAGTACTACATTCGACTTGACTACGAGGGTTCTATCAATAGAATGTAAAATCTTCGTTTCTTTCAAGTAGAGCTACAAATTTGGTCGAAGTACTTATTACCAAAACAAGTAAATATCCTGATTCGACTACGGATTCTTTTAGTGATTGCTTAAATCCATTTACTAGTTTATCAATATATACATGCTCATATATCTTATATATTTATGCATGCATTTTTATTTTAATTATCAAACCAAGGTTTTCACGGCATAATGTGTTTATTTTCTTGTTGATAATAAAAATGTTTGGTAGATACTATGCACGCATTTAAGTCTCCTCTTGGCAATCAATTTATTAATAATTTATAAATTGAGTCAACGTCAAATATTAATTTTAATTATATATTCATAATTAATAGAGCTGTGCTAGAAGTAGAGGGAAAGGGGGGTGGGTGGTTTACAGGCAAAACACATAAGGGGGAGGGGTGGATTTTTTTTTTCTTTTTTAAAACATGTGGGGCCCGTCAATTGTGAGGGGCCCAGCAGGCCCCAGTGAAACTCCCACCTGTACGTGGGAGTTTACTCTAATTAATATCCATTTATTATCCATACATTTCATAGATCCACTAATATTTTTCTTTATAAATTTGCCATGAGGGTGTTAAGATTATTTCTTCCGTGAAAATCCCCACAACTTACGTTTTTATTTCATTTACTTGCCTCGAGTAAATTTTTCACAAATTTGTGGGCCACCCATTATCGTAATGAGAAGTGATGCAGTGCCCCTGACAGGACAGACACATTGGGAGGGGATGGGGCCTTTTTTTTTCATTTTTTATTACACGTGGATCCCACGTCGATCCCACCCTCTTGTGAGGGTCGGTCACCCAGGTGAGTGCACCTCTTTGGCACACCGGCAAAATTCTTATCGTAATATAATAGTAACCATTGGTTACAAATAAATAGCAACTATTTTAAACTCTGTTTGATAAAGGATTAAAATTAGATTTTTAATAAATTTTGATAGAAAATAATGAAATGTATGATTGAAAAGTTGTGAGTCTCATGCAGTGTGTAATTAAAATTAATTATTAATTTTAAATTGAATTCCACCAAATAAAACACATGCCACCACCCACCAGTAATATATTATTCACGCACATGACATGCTCGCTAAAAGAATAAAGAAAAGTAATATTTTCACCTAACCCTCGGTAACGTGCTTCATGTGTTGTTGACCCAATCAATAATTAATCATGAAATAATTGCATTAGAGGTCCTTCAACTTTTTTTCGCAAATACATCACATTATAATTATATTAAAGATCATTAAACATTATTTATGTCAAGACAAGATTTCACAATTTAGAATAACAAATCAGATTAACATGGAAAATTCCCTGAGTACAGGGANTGGTCTAATTTTACATATCAAATATGCCCCTTTAGATATAACATTTGTAGGTAGTATTTTAAAACCCAAATTATACCTTTTTTTGTAGCACAATATTGTATAACCTCTGTTTGGTGATGATTAAAATCGAATTTTTAGTTGATTTTAATAAAAGTTAATGAAATGTGTGATTGAATAAGTGGTTGAAAAATTGTGGGACCCATAAAATATGTGGTTAAAATGAATTGATGACTTTGATCTAAATTTTAATTGGTACCAAATAGCGCCGCTGTGAGATCTAGCTTATTAAGAAGACCATAGTTCTATGACTTAAATCTTAAAAGATTAGGTTTTAGAGAGGAAAATTTTTATGTGTACTTATATCTTTATAAAATGTCCTTTTACGTATATCGAATTTAAATTTTTATTGTAGAAGTAATGTTAAATTCTTATTATTTATTTTTTCCTTAAAGTCATATGAATGTAGCATATGCAATTAATGTAAATCTTCCAAGTCGCTTGAAGGAGAAATGTATTCAAACCGTTGAATTACCCTAGTTTGCATGTTTTTGCATAAGCTTATCCAAGGAAGTGGCAAATTGAAACAATTCGATGATTAAAGATTATCATATGATTCAAAATAAAGTAGATGAGTATTTCGGGTTATTTAAAAATTCAAGTAACTCATCCAACTTTAACACAACAATTTGATGTGCTCGAAACAGATTAGCTCGTGTCTCTTTCTTGATCGTAGTTAATTTTATGGATAGCTGCAGCAGTGATACCAAACATTTTATTAAGTAGTAGACTTTGTCTAAACTTTTCATTGGATTATGCTACATGTACATAATGTTTTTACATAATCTTTTACACCCCACTCACATTAGGAGGTGGGGACCACGAGCCGCCATTTTTAAACACACACGAACCCCGCACACATTGTGAGGGAGGTACACCATTCGGTACCCGCCATTCGGTACATATGATTTTTCCCATAATGGGAATTTCTTTTATAAAGCATTAAATTCTTTGCTGCGTCAGCCACTGTGCTCAGCTATCAATTCACATCACTCAAAAATCAATTCTGGGCATAATAGATTTTGGTTTTACAATTCACTGTATTCAAGGAATAAAGCATATGCAATCATTACGTTTTCTTTAATTCACATCACTCAAATAAAGTTATATCAAACGTGACAAGATAAAACATATTTCTTCAAAATTCTTTTATACACAAGAGTTTAAGAAGAATTGCAACATCTTTATTCAACAAATTCGCTTAAGTAACGATGTGATTCATTTATTTACAAAAGTACAGTCAATATCTATATTTAAGAAATTGGTTTACAAAATTGGAATGAGTCGATTTAAAGATTTTCAGTGATCAACATCAGGACGAGTAGCTATACTCTTTTTCCTTCGTATCCCACTGAATTTTCTTAGTAAGGTTTTAATGATGTAACATTTATGTTTAATACTCCAAAATAATTGTACACTATTTCCTTTGTTTAATTTTTTGTCTCATTGAGTTTTTTATCAAACAAGATTTTAACGAGATGTATATTTTGTAATGTGTCATTCAAGTGGAATATTGTAAATGATAAGTTTATTAGTTAATGACAATTGTATCCCTATAGCCTCTAAAAATTATTGTCATTGTATTTTTAATTTTTCTCAATAAATATAGGGATTTTGTTCTCATTATAATATATAGAAGTCTAGTGACTTTTATTCTCTCTTTACTTTTTTTTTTTTTTACAACACTGTCATTTTTTTTTTAAGTTTACGGCAAATCGTGTAGTTATATTTAAAAATATAATAATCGAAATATAATAATTATGTTCGTTACTAAACTCTGATACCAATTATAGAAATAAAATGTGGAAAACAGTTAAAATATAGTGATAAGGGTAAAATAGAAAATTAACTCATAAAATGACAAAAAATTGTGAAAGTTAATGTGAAGGCAACTATAAGAAGAGCATTATTCTAAATTCTTTGCTGCGTCAGCCACTGTGCTCAGCTATCAATTCACATCACACAAAAATCAATTCTTGGCATAATAGATTTTGGTTTTACAATTCACTGTATTCAAGGAATAAAGCATATGCAATCATTACGTTTCCTTTAATTCACGTCACTCAAATGAGGTTACATCGTGACAAGATAAAGCATATTTCTCCAAAAATTTTTTATACGCACGAGTTTAAGAAGAATTGCAACATCTTTATTCAACAAATTCGCTCAAGTGACGATGTGATTCATTTATTTACAAAAACACAGTCAACATCTATATTTAAGAAATTGGTTTACAAAATTGGAATGCGTCGACTCAAAGATTTTCAGTGATCAACATCAGGATGAATAGCTATACTCTTTTTCCTTCGCTTATATTTTATCCCACTGAATTTTCCTAGTAAGGTTTTAATGATGTAGCATTTATGTTTAATACTCTAAAATAATTGTACTCTATTTCCTTCGTTTAATTTTTTGTCTTATTGAGTTTTTTATCAAACAAGATTTTAACGAGATGTATATTTTGTAATGTGTCATTCAAGTGGAGTATTGTAAATGATAAGTTTATTAGTTAATGACAATTGTATCCCTATAGCCTCTAAAAATTATTGTCATTGTATTTTTAATTTTTCCCAATAAATATAGGGATGTGGTTCTCATTATAATACATAGAAGTCTAGTGACTTTTGTTCTCTCTTTACTTTTTTTTTTACAACACTGTCATTTTTTTTTTTAAGTTTATGGCAAATCGTGTAGTTATATTTAAAAATGTAATAATCGAAATATAATAATTATGAACATTATATTAGTTTTTCTCTTCATTTATTCAACTGTATTATTAAATAATTCCCAAACGGTATATGTTTTGCATGTAACATGTTTACATAAAATGATATTGATTGAGGATCAAAATTACGATTAAACTAATAAAAATTACCCATTTTTACCCTCATTATTTGAAATTTTAATTTTTAGAATGAAATTTTTTTTGGGGAATGTGTGATTGAAATAGAAGGAAAATTTTGCGATTTTCGTATAATATTATTTTGTTAGAGAATGTGTGGTTAAAAAAATTATATATATATATATATATATATATTAAAAATTTAATGGGAGC